CCAGGGATCGAACTCAGATCCTTGTGCTTGCACAGCAGGCAGCGAAACCACTGAGCTAAATCCCCAGCTCCCAAATAATGATTTAATAATGATATATCTTAAGAGGCAGTTATGTAGTAAGTGCTCAGTAACTTTCGCCTACACTTAAATTAAGAGGTAAGAAATGAAAGCTCAGAGACGGGAAGTGACTTGTCCAAGGCCACACAGCTGTGAAATAAAAGCACGGGGCCCAAACCAGCTTACAAATAAATGTAAAGCTGTGGAGTAATAAAAACAAGAAAGTTAAAAGTTACTGTGGCACCAGCTGATTTAAAAGCCTCATAAACTCATTGGATTCTCATTGCAATCTTTCAGTGATCTTCTGCCTTGCAGATGGGGAAACTGAGGCACAGGGTACTTAACTCAAATTTGGAAGTTCCTCTGGCAGGAAGAGTGGGCCTGACACTAAGGGTTTCAGTGAGTCTCAAAGAGGAGAAAATAAAAATCTTGGTATGCACCCAGGAGAGCTGGGAATGCATGTTCTCAGGTACAGCTGTTTGATGCAATGCACACAGAGACGGAGGCTTGATGCGCACCCACCCTCCCAACCCCACCCTGAGCAGCAGGCAGCCCCCCAGGACCCAGCAGGGTCCCCTTCTCTTCTAGGTATCCTTGGGCTGAGAGAAGGGTAAGGTACAAAGTGGTGCCTTAGGCTCAAGGATTGTATAATAGCTGGGTGCATAATTCATGTGTTGTCAGCAGAACATCAATATGTGGGCCTTCCCTGGAGTTGTCTGGGGGTTAGAAACTGGAGCAGGCTTCCCCTGCCAGCCTCTGGGGGAAGCAGGACCTAGCAGCTCTTAAAGGTACAGGCTCCCCAGGAATCTATTCTCTCTGTGCAGGCGTCCTTCTATCAGGATGCAGAGATGGGAGCAGCTTCCTGCAGGAGTCAGCCTGAGGCCCACTGGCTGCCCCATAAAATCAGACCCACTCTTTGCCCAGCACTGTGCTGACAGCTGCACGTGCCCTGCTGCATCACAGCTTGTGAGGGGCTGACTATCGTCATATCTGGGAGTTCCTCAGCCTCAGCACTGTTGGCATTCCAGGTTGGGTAATTCTGCACTTTCAAGGTGTCCTGTGCATTGTAGGGTGCCAAGCAACCCTGACCTCCACCCACAAGATGTAACCAGCACCCTCCCCTTCCTCCAGTTGTGACAACCAAATTGCTAAGCCTTCCTGGGCGTCAAAATCATCCCTAGATGAGAACGACCAGTATATATCCTCCTTTCACAGATAAGGAAACTCAGGCCAGGCGAGTGCCAATGCTCAAGGCCACTCTACCAAGAAACTGTGGAGCTCAGATTCAAGGACTAGAGCCCATGACCCTGACCTCAAGACAGGGGTCCCGAGGAGGGTGCTGTGGGCATGTTCAGCTGTGCCACTGCAGTAATCACAGATTTATTTTGATGGATATTAATGCGTACGTCGGTAGTGCAAAAAAAGTCAATGTTGCCTATTATATTTTAGGATAAGGCTAAAATAAAATGAAGAAAGTAAATTTTCTCTCTCTTTTACTATTAACCAAAAAAGTAGTACAAGTAACAAAAGAATACGTACAGTAAGACATCAAAACGGAGACAGTTTGTTTAGGGATGCACATTTGTATGAGAACTATGCAGAAAAGATAAGGGATGAGAAGGAAAATGTGCTCAGAGGTCTTCTCTAGGGTGGAGGAGGACCCCAGAAAGTATCGGTGTTACTGCTCCCTGCCCTGTGGGTTCACAGGTGTCTGTTCAATTATGGTTCATAAAGTACATGTAAATTAGGTCTGCTTTCCTATTTATCAAATATCTCACTTTATAACATGACTATAGAATGTTTCTCTTGCAGTGAGTGCAAATCAAGATGCTGAGACTCAAAAGCTAATTGTTTTTAAAGCACAGGATATGTTGAGCAGAAGTGGAGCAAAAGTATAAAGAAGTTGGTACAACTGAGGCTGAGGAGGCAGCATCGGGCAAGGTTCTCTCACCTTCTGAGCTGCCCCTTACAGGCACCAGAGCTCTCTGGACACCTGTCACCCCCAGGGGCGAGCAAGGAGCCTCACACATGCAGTAAATGATCTGTAAATGCTTGCCAAGTTGACAACTGAGTTCTGAGCTGGGCCCTTCCGCTCACAGCTCTGCAAACTTGAGCAACCGCCAGCAAATACTTTGGAGCATCTGCCGGTGTCACTTCCGATCTGGGTGCTGGGGGTGCAGAGATACAGCTCAGAACTGGTCCCTCACTCACTCATTCTGGGCAGCAGTGAGGTGTGCACGTGCACGCACACACCACAGAGGCATGTGCATGTTATGGCAAAATGATATGGGGACCCGAGGGTGGAGCGGCCACCTTGCTGGGGAAAAGCAGGACCACTTCAGAGGGGAGGAGCCTGAGGGTGCTTTTGAAAGTTGGGCTGGAATTCACCAGAGAGAGCAAGAAGCTCAGGTGTGCAAAACTGACCTACAATACTGTGTGTCCAGAAAAGTGTGACATTTTGGGGACGAGAGAGATGGTCAGAGGCGAGTGGAAGGGACTTGACAGCCACATGTCCTTACTGGGGATTCCTCACAGGAGCCAGAAGCCACCCTCACACCCAAGCAGCAGCTGGGTTCACTTACGGGATATAGCAGGCGGGTCGGGACGTGGTCAGGAAGCGAAGACCTGAGGGCAGCTCAGAGGCAGGGTGGTCTAGGCTGCTGGTGAGCTGTGGGCTGAACCGTTGCCCCTGGGCTGAGCCATGGTCTGTCAGAGCCACAGGAGGCCACCCGAGCGTGGCACACTGTGAACACGCCTAACCACCTGGCGGCTCTCCACTGTCAGTACTGCTGTTATCATCCTGTTTTGCAGAGGGGGAAACAGGTTTAGAGAGTTCAAATAACTTGCTCAGAGTAAAGAAGTAGCAGGGCTGGGGCTTGGGAATCCAAAATGAGCTGACCTGAGCCCAACTTCTTAGCTCCTGCCTTCCACGTCCGCTTAGGATGCTCCTGGGTCCTCACTGACCCTACCCTCTGCCTCTTGCCTTCCTTCTCTGGCTTCTCTAAGAAGTTTGGCTTTTTCTAGTTTTTTGGTATGGTCTGTCTATCCCCTACAGCTTGGGAGATGCTTGCCTGGGCTTTGGGCTTGTCACGGGACCTCCATAACTCACTCACCTCCTGGACCCCGGAGCACAAACTCTCCGAGGCTGGGTGGCTGAGCCCAGTGTACCGATTGGCTCAGCCCGGATCCCCTTCTGTGCACCTTGGACCAATCAGCAACAGCCAACGTTAAATGGTGCAAATGTGGTGACCAGGGGTTTAGGTATTTCCCTCGTTAGTCCTGAAGACTTACTGACAGAGAAGTTACATGACTGGGTTTATATTTGGGGGGGAAAAGACCCTGCAAGCAATTTATTACATCTAGATTTCATTAACTTCAAAAAACACAGTCCTTTCTCTGGCCAAGCACTCTTCTGGATACCAGGGACTCGAAGGTAATGGAGCCAAGGTCTTTATACCCAAAAGTCGGTAGTTCCAACCAGGACTTGGTGTGAGTCCAAAACATCTCTGCCTCCCTGGAAATTAGCTGCAAAATCTTGCGGGTCTGAGCATTTTTCTAGTGAAGGGGTCCTTAGATTTCATCTGTTTTTGTTTGGTTTTGGGTTTTGGTTTTTTAAGACAGCCTTTTTGGCCAACCTGGCCTTGAACTCGCAATCTTCCCATCTCAGCTTGTGTAGCTGGGATCACAGGCATGCACTACCACACCCGGCGTCATCTAATTTTTAACACAGACTTCAAAGCTCATGCTCTGGGGTCAGATTGACCTGGGTTAAAATCCTGGCTCCACCTCTTGCTAGCTGCACAAGTCCAAGTTTCCTCCTCTGGTCGATGGGGCTAATAATACTTAACAGGGTAGCTGTAAGAACAAGATAAGGTATTGCATGGAGAGTGTTTAGCACACACACTCAGCAAATGGTAGTGCTTATTATTATCACAGGCATCTGGCATAATTGTTGTGAAAGCAATGCCCAACCCTGTAATCATGTGAACCATGGTCAGCTCAGGAGTCACCAATTATGGGCTGCAAGTGAAATTCAGCCTGCTGCCTATTTTTGTAAATAAAGTTTTATTGAAACATAGTTATCCCCATTCATTCATGTGATATCCAAGCTGCTTCTATGCTGCAAATGCGGAGTTGAGGCACTGCAACAGAGAATGTATAGGCTTCAAAGCCTGTGGCCCTTTATAGGAAGAGTTTGCCCACCCCTGGGCTTGCTGATTAGCTGTGAATCATTTCAATTCCCTGGGCCTTAGTTTTCACATTTGTGCAATAAATGGATTTGAATAAATGATTTGTACCTCAAATGGTCATTAAGTGACTAGTGAAGTGTGAAAATGGCCTTGTAATAGCTAAAACTTGGAAGCAGCCCAATTGCCCATCAACTGGAGACTGGATAAAGAAAATGTGTGTTTTTAAATAAAATGGAGTACTACTCAGCCATAAAAAATGATAAATTAGAGACATTTATAGCTAAATGGATGCACATCAAGGTGCTACTCTTACATGAAATAAATAGGACACACGTGTAAATACCAAACAGTTTCTCTAGTGTGAGAAACTGAAAGTGTAACTAAGGACTAAAGGGTATACTAGATAATGTGAAATAGGAAGAAAAGGGGCAAAGGGGAAGGGGAAGTGGGAGGGGTAGGGGAAAAGAAAGAAGGGAATGGAATTAATATGAGAAAAAGAAAAAATGGAAACAAAGTCTTTGTAAATAGGGAGGGATGGAGGGGTTGAAGGGAGGGCAGGGGAATGGGGAAAAATAAGAACAAAGAGAGATTATGTAAAGGTGCAAATTTCCAATAATGAATGTCGTTATATTGTATACCTAAAATGTACCAATAAAATTAATTTTTTTTAAAAAAGAAAATGGTCTTGAATGTGGAAGTAGTATGATGATCATTGTTGGAGGTTGCTAACTAAATCTTCCTCTCTTATCACAGATCCTGGCCATAATTTCCATTATGTTCATCGTCCTCTCCACCATCGCCCTGTCACTCAATACGTTGCCCGAGCTGCAGAGCCTTGATGAGTTTGGCCAGAACACAGACAACCCTCAGCTGGCCCACGTGGAGGCCGTGTGCATCGCGTGGTTCACCATGGAGTACCTGCTGCGATTCCTCTCCTCGCCCAAGAAATGGAAGTTCTTCAAGGGCCCGCTCAACGCTATTGACTTGCTGGCCATCTTGCCGTACTACGTCACCATCTTCCTCACCGAATCCAACAAGAGCGTGCTGCAGTTCCAAAATGTCCGTCGCGTGGTCCAGATCTTCCGCATCATGCGCATCCTGCGCATCCTCAAGCTTGCACGCCACTCCACTGGTCTTCAGTCCTTGGGCTTCACTCTGCGCAGAAGCTACAATGAGCTGGGCTTGCTCATCCTTTTCCTTGCCATGGGCATCATGATCTTCTCTAGCCTTGTCTTTTTTGCAGAGAAGGATGAGGATGACACCAAGTTCAAAAGCATCCCAGCCTCTTTCTGGTGGGCCACCATCACCATGACAACTGTTGGGTATGGAGACATCTACCCCAAAACTCTTCTGGGGAAAATTGTTGGTGGTCTCTGCTGCATTGCGGGAGTCCTGGTGATTGCTCTTCCCATCCCCATCATCGTCAATAACTTCTCTGAGTTCTATAAGGAGCAGAAGAGGCAGGAGAAAGCAATTAAGCGAAGAGAAGCTCTAGAGAGAGCCAAGAGGAATGGCAGCATTGTCTCCATGAACATGAAGGATGCTTTTGCCCGGAGCATTGAGATGATGGACGTCGTGGTTGAAAAAAATGGGGAGAATATGGGTAAGAAGGATAAAGTACAAGATAACCATTTATCTCCCAACAAATGGAAATGGACAAAGAGGACACTGTCTGAAACCAGCTCGAGTAAGTCCTTTGAAACCAAGGAGCAGGGATCTCCTGAAAAGGCCAGATCATCTTCTAGTCCTCAGCACCTGAATGTCCAGCAGTTGGAAGACATGTACAATAAAATGGCCAAGACCCAGTCCCAGCCCATCCTCACTACCAAGGATTCAGCACCACAGAGCAAACCAAAGGAAGAACTTGAAATGGAAAGCATCCCCAGCCCCATAGCCCCTCTGCCGACTCGTACAGAAGGGGTCATTGACATGCGAAGTATGTCGAGCATCGATAGCTTCATTAGCTGTGCCACAGACTTCCCCGAAGCCACCAAATTTTCCCACAGCCCTTTGGCATCACTCCCCAGCAAGACTGGGGGCAGCACTGCTCCAGAGGTGGGCTGGCGGGGGGCTCTGGGTGCCAGTGGTGGTAGGCTTGTGGAGGCCAACCCCACCCCTGATGCCAGCCATCACTCCAGTTTCTTCATTGAGAGCCCAAAGAGCTCCATGAAGACCAACAACCCTTTGAAGCTCCGAGCACTCAAAGTCAACTTCATGGAGGGCGATCCTAGTCCGCTCCTCCCCGTTCTGGGAATGTATCATGACCCTCTTAGGAACAGAGGGAGCGCTGCAACTGCTGTCACTGGACTGGAGTGTGCCACGCTCTTGGACAAGCCTGTGCTGAGCCCAGAGTCCTCCATCTACACCACAGCAAGTGCTAGGACACCGCCTCGCTCGCCCGAGAAACACACAGCAATAGCATTCAACTTCGAGGCGGGTGTCCACCAGTACATCGATGCTGACACGGACGACGAGGGCCAGCTGCTCTACAGTGTGGACTCCAGCCCTCCCAAGAGCATCCGAGGGAGCACCAGCCCCAAGTACAGCCTTGGTACTAGATCAGAGAAGAACCACTTCGAAAGCTCCCCCTTACCCACCTCCCCTAAGTACTTAAAGCAGAACTGTATTTACTCCACCGAGGCATTGACTGGAAAAGGCCCCAGTGGTCAGGAAAAGTGCAAACTCGAGAATCACATCTCTCCCGATGTCCGCGTGTTGCCCGGGAGAGGAGCCCATGGGAGCACTCGGGATCAGAGCATCTGAACTCCCCACCTCGAAGGGGAGACTTGTGGGCAAGGTCCAAGGAGGGTGGCTGTTCGGCTTACCTGCCACAGAGCTTTTCTTCATGAACTCAGAAACAGAAAAGCTCTGCAAAACTCCCAGGGAGAAGAGAGACTCACGGAAGTCCCCTAAGACCTGGAGAGCCATGACAGGTCCATCAGCATGAAATTGGCCAAGCCACGGGGACAGTGCCTCCTTGTTATAATTCTACTGCCCTCTTTGGGAGATGACACGAGCAGAGCTCACAGCCACCACTACCACCATTCTAGACCTAACTGAAGCCACCTACCCCCCATCCTTCTCTGGTGGCTCTCTGTCACGGCCTCTGAGGGCAGCCTTTCCATCCCCCCTGGCTTCAGCTGGAGAAGGATGCTGGAACAAGTGGCTGGTGTTGAAAGAGTACATTGACCACGTTGGTATTGTCACCTAGGAAAATCTGTCCATCACCTCCTGGATCCCACTGTTGGAAGGCCCCAGGGAACATTTGTGTCTTGGGGAAATCGCGCCATAAGCCACGATCCCAGAGCAAAACCCTTACCCAAATGACTTCATTAACTTCAGTATTCCATAGTACCTGAGATTTTATTTTCAGATACCATCAGGGTGAGTTGCACCATTTGTACTCAATTCTAATTGCCCCCTGGCAATCTGGGAAGGGTTCAGAAGGCAGGCATGCTGCCAGCGAGATGAACTCTGCATTGCTTTAGGGTTATAGAAAGAAAATGATTTTTGTACTCCACTAGTGTAGACTCAAAAGATATCCAAGTGTCAAATATGCAAAAGAAATAGCTTATTCAAAGAGACTCTGTGTTACTGAAGAACAGCATAAAAATCTGATTTCCTTTTTTACCTGCAAAAATGAAAGGAAAAAAAAACCCCACCCCTCCTTAAATGCCCCATCCAGACTTTTGAATACTTCCTGCTGCGGCAGGGAAAGCACCTACTATACTAGAAATTCTTTTTTGTTTCCTGTGGCATTCAAGCTAAAAGAAATTTAATAAAAAGCACTTTATGTTTTTCAAATATAGGTTCTACCAGGGACAGTGTCACCATCTTGCACTTTAAAACAAGCACTATTTCCTGTGGGCCACCTCTTGGCGCTGTAGTTGGGTTGTTGCTACAGGCCCATTTCCAGCCACGGTGGGCGTCATCCAAGTCGTTGGCTCCTTCCCTGCCCCTCTGGAGCTTCCCCTCACCCTCATGGGCCAGGAGGGGGTTTTGGCCCTTGGTTAGGGCCTCTCCTAAAGTCACCTGCACAGGAGACATGCACATCTCAGAAGGTCCCAGCGACGGTTGGGCATTGGGTATTTGTTCTTTCTTGTCAACCAGCCATTGGTGTGTTTTCAGTGTTAGTCTGACCTACAAGCTCAGCTCTCCTTCCTGCAGCCATCAATGCAGACAGTACAGACAAAAGCAATAAGTATTTGTGCGCATCCTGAGCAGTTCTGGTGTATTTCTTGGTGTTGGTCTTCCTGTTCTAGTTTGATGACCTGCTATCATCCCGCCTGCTTTTACTCCAACAGCATGGTATTGGTGGCCATTCCTCCTATGGTGACATTGGGTTGAGCCACTGGTTAATACAATGTTATTGTATCCGTTCAGGTGTCAGTAAAGATAACTTATTTTTTTGGTCTGCCTGTCTATAGTACAATGGAGCACTGTTGTTCTTTTGGTATACTGTTGATGGATGATGTCCCAAGTATAATAGTGTAGTTCTGCCTGGCTTCAATACAGTGACAGGCATCTGTCTTCCTGGTGGAACAAAGATATTGTGCTGGGTCGCTTATCCTTCGTGTAATCATTGCTGGCCTGGCCATTAGTACAATGGCCCGATCCACCTGTCCATACACAAATGTCACATTGTTGTGGCATTACCCTTAAAAATGTGCACTCTCTGCTACATATGGACCCAGTTTATGGCACTTCTCAGCCTCTCCAGGGATTGTGGATCCTCTCAAAAGGGTGCGGTACTGTTATTTGCCGTGTAAAAAAAGAAAATGCAAACCTGACTCTTCCTAGGTGTCTTCAGAGTACTTGCAAGGAGACACAAAGGGACTGAGGGGCAGGGGCAGTGAGTGTGGCACAGGGTAGCACCCCAGAGAGGAAGCACAGCGCTTCCAATCCCCTTCGCTGGGTGCGCAGTCGGGCTGGGCCTCCGGGGAATGACTGAGACAGTCCTCCGCTGGCCATCTTCTGTGTCTCTTTGTTTTCATTACCATTTCTGTCCATCAGCACAAATGTGAAAATTCAGGGAAAACAAATGCTTTTTGATAAAAGTAAATAGTTGTGATTTCCGATTCAGATATTTTTAGAGCTGATGCTATCTGTAAAAAATTAATAATAATAATAATATAGTCTATTTTACATATCAGGAAAGTGAACATGTTTAAATATAGCCATATATAGTGAGAAGGAACTTACCACCCCTTCTTCAAATCAAGGCATTTCGTTGTTAGTCAAAGCAGATGAGAAGTATACAGATTGGAAATGATTTCTTCTTTCTTTCTTTCTATCTTTTTTTAAAAACCAATTGGTGCAACTCTCCTGGTAACCAAAGGCCTTTTATGCCTTGTGTCATTTAGGACCCAGCCCTTCCTTCCTTGTGTGTTTTGTCTGACCTTGAAGTAGCATTTTATTGAGTCACTTTTGAAGGATGAATTCAGAAGTATCATTAAGAACCTACCTTTTCAGGCTTAATAGCCAGAGTCCTATAGAGTTCTTATAGAAACAGAATCATTGAAAATCAGCATATACTATGCTTAGAAAGTATTCCGTTTGGGTTTGGTTTTTTCTTTTTTTTTCTTTTACTTTTATGTGTACGTATTGCAGGAATACAGCTTTTTGCCCTGCACTCAACTCAAAATAGCATATTGTACATTTTCCCAGCAGCCCCCATACCCACCAAAAAGGAACATACCCAGATTTGTAATGTGCATAGCCCAACCTGTACCTAGTACAGGTCTGTAATGCACTGGGAAATCTACCTAAGGTCTCCACTGAGAAGCTGAACTTCATAGCCGATCTTGGTAGAGAAGAAGAAAGCTGTGGTTTGGAGGCAAAGACTGCTTTAGCTCCATCATTTCCATACGTTGCCGGACCGGCCAGAGCAAAAAGAAACAGGTCGATCCACGTAAACAAAATGAGGGGTTGGGGTGGGTGGATGCCTGGTCCCTTTGGCAAATTCACTGAGACTCATCAAGAACTTGAGTTCCAACTTCCACCGCTTTCAGAAAAGGCTAGGGACCAGATGGCTACGTGTCTCGATCACACGGGAGCATCTGGCCAGCGGGACGAGAAGTGGCCACCGTGCGGAGGAGCTGGTTCATTCACCATCTTATCTTTGGCTAAAAGAAAACAACTGGTCTTCAGTGCAGTAGATTTCTCGGTGCCTTCTTTAGGAATTCTATCTTAAGCACACTTTAAGGGCAAGAAAAAAGGAGAGAACATTTGTTCCTGTGAGGCTCCTTTCTCTAAAAAGATCAGGAATCAAGAAGAAGAAGAGAAAACAACAAAATCCTAGGTGGCTGTTTCCTTTCCACCCACTCAGTTTGCCCGGATAATTGCTGAGGATACAAACTTTTCAAACTGATTCCTGAACCTCTCTACAAGTCTTGGTAATTGTAGCCTCATCTCTGCCCTTTATCCAAATTAAGACCGTGTTTCTAAGGGGGGAAAAAACAGTATTCTCTTCTGTTAAACTGTAATGTGTTGTTGATATTTGTAACTATTGTATATTTCTGTCTTGCTCCAGTCATGGCTGGAATATCTAGTCCATGAGCAAAAGGATATTGAAATTCACCATGGACAAGGGTCACTAAAGCCAGGTGTCTCCTCTCTCTCTCTCTCTCTCTCTCTCTTTTCTTTATTTCTCTGCCAACTTGTCTCAGATAAGATAATCCCAGGCATTTCAGCATCAAGTAAATTCGAATCAAAGAAGGACACAATAAAAAGCCTCCAGGACATGGGCCTTTGGGGACATTTTTTTCTGTAGCCTCAAAGTTGGCAGGAGAAGACAGGACGATGGAAAGCTTCCAGCCCCGAGAGGGCTTTTCCTCGCCTACTGCTATTTCTGTGACAGCACCCAAATGCTTTCATGTCACCCAACCAAGGCCACCCAAACCAGCCCTGGCTGCACACAGAAATAAGTGTTACCTCTGCATTTTTTGTTGTCATTTTCCTGGCTCTAAAAGTATCTGATGTGTGGCTACATCCTAGAATGTGCACATATCTCAGAGTAGTCTATTTTTCTGTTCAGGTAAAAAAAAATATATATATATATATATGTATTTTTAGCAAATTTGTAATAGGGCAATTGAGTCTAATTTCTTCTTTTATGATACAGAGTAATATCTTAAGAGTTTTATTGTTGGTCAGTATCGTAGCTGATATTTTCTGGTCTTTTTCATTTCTTCCTGTGTCCTTTGGCTGTTTTTTCATTTCTTCCTTTGAAATCTGATTCTCGGGAGGTAGGGTGGACTTTGGGGCTTGACTTCTGATGTAGGGATTCCCTGGCACTAGGAAATGTCTGCTCTTTCCTCATCTGGTCTATATTCCTCTTCCCCATAGTTCCTTTTTTTTGTACCAGGGATCGAACTCGGGTCCTCGCGCTTCTGGGGCAAGCGGTGGAACCACTGAGCTAAATCCCCAGCCCTTCCTCATTGTTCTTAAGAGTCTAGGGCACAAGCACAGGAGTGAGACAGGAAAGCTGGCTAGAACTGGCCTCAGAATCAGGATGGCACACAGGCTGCTTGAGCTCCTGCCCCACACCTTCCAGAGATCTGAAGGGACTGAGTTTTCTCATCCCCCAGACCCCTTCCAAGTCCTCACTGGCCCAAATGTTCTCACATCCCCTGCCCTACGCTCCTCTCCCACCAGTTGGACCTGAAGGCCAGAGCATGTTCAGGTTCTTGCATACCTCAGAAGAACATGCTGGACCTCAGATCTCAACTTTTTTCAGTTCCTCATTTCAGTCCATTTCTAACCACCTCACTGAAAGAGTGGCCAGACACCCCATAGCCTACACAGAAGGGATGCTCCCAGAATCGGCTGTCTCATCCCCCTTCCCTTTCCAGCTGCTGGCTCCATGAGAGTCCTTGCAAAGATCGTGGTACTTTTCCAGTTTCCACCTCTCCAAGGCTTGGAGAGTTCTTGGATCATCCTGATAATTAATTCCTTGTCAGATAGGCAGACGACATCTCACTGAGCAGGATCTTTAAGGGAAAGTGATCTCCATCCATCCACTCTTGCAGGATGATAAAGAAGGGCCAGGGAATCTCCAGTCTGCATTCATCCCGGCTTTGATCTACCACTTGCCTCCCTATCAGCCGTGGGGCTCTGGGCTCTGCCCAGTAGCAGAGATTTGACCCAAACCAGGACCCCCAGAAAGCAGTGAACCATCCTCACCAGCTCAATCCCAAGAGGAAGCCAACCCAAGTTCATTGTTATTATTCTGGACCATGACCCTAAGCAGTTTCCCACCCCCAAAAGTCCTGCTGATCTGATTCAAACCAGAGACAAATAGAACAGACAAGATTAAAAACAAAAACAAAAAACTTTTGCATAAGAAGAACAAAACCAAAAAATTACCTCCCAATAGTTTCCCAGGTTCAGTGCCCAGATAAGCAAACACGCCTGCCTGTGGTTGTCCTCATTACGAAAAAGGTTGGTTGTATAGCCTGGGTTTCCATCCACAGTCCCTGATGCTATCTTAACCTGGGTTTTCTGCTGAACTTTCCAAGAAACTGAGCTCCTGAAGAATCCATTTTGGAAGGGGCTATTATTAGAGCAAACTCATCTAGCTCTTCACTTCTAACCCTAACTTTATTTTTCCCAGCAAGGGTGCTGAAAAGATCCCCTAAAGCCTGGCCAGGATGGGGTAGAGTAGAGCAGTTGAGCTGAAGAAGAAGCCCCCCATCTTCCAGATGGCTGCACCCACGCAGGTCCCTGTCATTTTCTCTTGCATGAGAGGGACAGGGAAGTCAATTTCAGCTCAAATTAAGGAAGTCCGTCTAACAGGTTGGGGTGTCTACCCATGAAGCCCATTGCATGGCGGGTAATGAGCTTTCATCCCTTCCCCACAAGTATTTAAAGGGAGCCTGCTTCGTGTACAAAGTGGTATTGCAAAGTATTCTTAGCCTTGCATGGAAACTGGACTGAAAAATGAGGGAAATTCTCTCTGCTTCCTGGTTGTGTGTGTGTGTGTGTGTGTGTGTGTGTGTGTGTTGTACATTCTGGGCACAGCCTTAAGGCAAGGATGGAGCATAGTTAGCAGGAGCTCAGGTTCTAGGACTTGGAGCCCTCACGGGGGATGCCAAAGCAGGAAGGTAGCAGGGCACCCTGGTTCCATCCCACTCCCTGCCTCGCACTCTGTCAACACCCTGCCAGCCCAACCCCAGGGACCTAATAGGGACCACACTGGGATGGGACACATGCGACCCTTCCCCCGGCCAGCCAAGGAGCAATCCACAAAGTCCCCATCTCTGGCCAACTGCCTCATGGTGCTTCAGCCCTTCTGCCCAGATCCTGTGCCCTCAAAGAGATGATGCAGTGGTCTTTTAGCACTAGCAGCCAGCCACTGCCCAGGCAATCACAAATGGCACCTTCCAAAGGGCTTCCTTACCACTACCCTAAATAAAACAGGATATCCCATGCAAGACCTTCAGAAATCTCCATCCATGATATGATTTAAAAAGGCAAAAAGACAGGCAGCCATAATCAGCCTTACAACAAAACAAAGCTTGGGCTGTCTGTAAGAAGAGTGCCTGTACCCCCAACCCCATATCCCTTCCCTCCAGGCCTGGCTCCTGCTTAATCTGCCCAGAGCCTTTGGCCTGGGGCCTCAGTTGCCTACAGTAGCTTTGGAGGAGGTGGGACTTCAACACCAGGTTGAGCCCGGGTCCAGGTGGTCTTAGGTTTATATAAGGTGAGACGGGCCAATGCGTTTGGATGGGCAGAATGAGCATCTGCCTTCCTCCAAAACCAAACCAAACAAAACCCAGTTTCTAAGGTCTCATGTCATGGAGGCTGTGCCCTGCAGAAATTGCTCAAGATGTAAGACTACTGTATCAGGACAATTTGTGAAGATGTAGGAAACTCCCAATTCCGTCCCATTTGCATGCACTCCAGCCGCCTAGGGATCGCCTGTCACTTCCTGCCCCCTGAGCTAAGCGGGGCTGGGATGAGTGGGCCAAAGGTTTGAATCCGTCCTCTGCATAGCCCTGTCTGGGGCTTGGGGCTCAACAGCCACGAGCTGGGTGTGGCAGTAAGTGAGCTGGAAACTGGCTTCTTTCTCTCCAGGTTTACCTTGACGTCAGTCTAAGGTTGAGGGCTGGGAGCCCCACTTTTTCTATCAGGAACTCAGGATTTCCTGCCAACATGTCCACTTGGCACACAGTGGTCATCCCACCTGTGTTGTGTTGCGTTTCGTGAGTGGATGTGGGAACGATTGATGGATGAGTGTGTGGGGAAGAGGGGAGTTAGTTGAGTTCTTTTCTGGCTGTTTGTGTTGCTAATTGGGGAGAAAGGAAAAATGGGAGCCCCCCCCCGCCACTGAAGACCATAGATGATGCCCCACCAATGGCATCTGTTCTTGGACACGATCTGGCACCATAGCGACGTCCAAATTTGACCTTTGTAGGCCCCAGCCAGAAAAGGGTTACAGCCCTCTCTCCAAGCCTCACCTCCAGGGGGCTGCAGGGGCAGCCAGCCCTGTCCCTCCTTTCCTGCCTGGCAGTTAGCTCATGCAGCCCATGGGAGATCACAGAGTGGATTTCTAGTGGGCTGAGCCAAGGGTCAAGAGTAGGGGTTTCCCTTGGTCTGGGATTTGCTGGTGCAGGAATGGGCACAAACATCTAGAACTGGAGCACATTCCCTGAGCCTCGGAGTCCAGCTGCATGAGAGGGCTTGCCTGTCCTCCTGCTGTTAGAGCCAATGCTCTCCTTTTATCTGAGCCCTGAAGCCCTCCATGACAGCATATGCCCCAATGCCATCAGCTAATATCCTCTGTCCCTCCCAGGAACCTGCAGTGTGAGGTTGGGGCTTTTCTGCCAGCAAAGCCATTCTGATCACCCCACCCATGATGGGGACCAAGCCAATTACATTAGCCATAAACAACCAATGTCCTCAACCACTCTTCTCGGGTTGCGTTTGTGGGTCCTGTTCATTTTTCAGCAGTTGACTTCTCTAGTCCTTCCTGTAATGGTGAAAATAAGCATTGAGCATGCTCATGCTCACACACACACACACACATGGAAACGAAACAACAAAAATCCCGGCGTCTTTTTATGCATGTAGTGAGATGAAATTGTGATCCTTGTGTGACCTCCAGCTCCGTCCTGTCTTGTAAAATATGTCCAAATGTTTAAGAATTTGCAAGAAAATGGTCCCTTAATGAAGTCTGCAGAGTTCAATAAAAGGTATGGAGAAAACAAGCGTCCTGGTGTTTGTTTTATTTTCTGGGAGATGCAGGAAAGTACAGGTGGGAATATCTATAAGAAGGGCTGCATCTAGAAGCCTAGGGGACTAAAGGGGTAACATGGACTTTTTCTCTTCCCCCTAAACAATGAGAGCATGAAAATGATGGCTTCTTGGCCCAGATGTGAAAGCCAAGTAACACATCCCATACAGCATTAATGGATCAAAACCCCAACTCAGGTCATTTGTCAACTGTCCCTGGGTACCCCACTCATAAGAATGTCTCACAAAAGAATGCAGACGCTCTGATGCCTGCAGGGATGAGGCAGGTAACATAAGAAGTAAAGCAACCTGGCTATGAGGCATAAGGGGATGGTGGTGTGTGCAGCAAACTAAAGGACATGCACCTGTCTAAAGGAACAGTCAGTGTTCGTCTCTGCCTGGCTGTTGCCACATGGGGCTGTGACCTAGCAAGGCCAGATCTTTTAAAACATAAATCCAAAATCAGAATTTTATGGGAAATAAATACCAACAATGAATTCCAATTTCTCTGGTCCTGTGCTGGCCAGATGAAGCGTGCCCAGGGGCAGACTATAGCCAAGGTTTTTGTGATCCCTGCCATGACCAAGAAGGCTTGAAGATCCTGGTATTCACTTTCTTTTCCTGTGTAATAAATACCCCCAATGCCTAGCTAGCTTGAAGTATTTGTGGTCTCATGGCTTTCATGGGGCAAAGAGTTCAGGACGACCCTAGAAAAGTGGCTCTGGATGAGGATTTTCCCAGTGGTCTCAATCTAGATACTAGTTCCCATCATTTGCTCTACTGGGCTGGAAGAGCTGCTGCTCCTGCTCAGGTGACCTAGGAGCTTCTGCTCCGTGCAGGAGGCCTCTGTCACTCACACTGTGGCTCTGCACAGGGCTCTTGAATGTCCCTATGGCATGGTGCTGGCTTCCCTGGAGTGCACAGTTCAAGCAAGAAAGCCAGGAGGGAACCACAATGACCTAGTGTCAGAAGCCAGACTCCACCACTTCCACCAGCCTATGTGAGTCAGTAAATCCAGCTCACACTCCAGAAGATGGGAATTCTGTATCCTTAAAGAAAGGATCAAAGATCTGGGGACATGTTTTATTTTTATTTTATTTTTGGGAGTGCTGGAGATGGAACCCAGGGCCTCATGCATGCTAGCCAAGTGCTCCACTGCTGAGCTGCATCCCCGACCCTGGTACTGTATTTTAAAACCACTATATCCCAAAGCCCATGTAGTGGAAAGAGCAGTTTTCGAACTTTAGAATATATTATGTACATTCACCATCACCTAGTGAAATAAAGGCTAATTTGAGCCCCCAAAGCATATCATCTCAGAATAAAAGACCATCTTTTACTATTTAGGAGGCTGAGACAGAACTGCAAGTTCAAGGCCACCCTGGGCAATTTAACAAGACCCTGTCTCAGAATTTTTAAAGGGGGAGGGTTGGGGCTGGGGCTGTAGCTGAGTGATAGAGTACTTACTTACCAAGTGTGAGGCACTGGCTTTAATCCCCCAGCACTGAAAAGACAGAGAGGAAGGAAGGCCATCATTTAAACACAAAATCATATTTGATTTTTTGTAGATCTCAGCACCTAGGGGCCAGCTCATTCTGTGGGGTGTTCAGCAGCACCTCTGGCCTTCACCCATGGGATGCAAGCATCCACCTCAGTTGCAACAACCAAAAATGCTTCCAGACGTCCTCAGCTGTCCCTCGGGGACCTGCAGTTGAGAACCACCGGTGTCCACAATCCAAAGGTCCAATGAAATGCACAATTTCCCTGGTACCACTGGACCGCAGTCCTCCCATCCCCAGAGGCAATTCCTGCTACCAGCTTCTCCCTTTTCCTTCCAGAGGTGATTTTTGCAAACACACAGAGGCATGTGTGTATGTGTGTGTGTATGTGTGTGTGTTTCGTAGTGCTTTGTTTTATTTTTCCACACATAAATAGTAACATACTATAGACACTGCTCTGCACCTTGTTCTTTCTGCTTAATATATCTTGGAAATCAGGCTGCATTCACACCCCAAGAGCTTCCTCATTCTTTTGTGAGCCAGCCTTGTGTCCTATTTTACATGGTAATTGCTGGCCTCCTACTGCTGAGTGTTCAGGCAGCTTCTAAACTTTGGTGCTTGCCCTCAGTGCTGAAATGAGTGGCCTGTTGGAAGCTCCCCTGGGCTCTGCTGCAAAACAGACCAGGAATCTGCATTCTCACCCCGCTCTGCCACAGCCACCACTGTCCATTCCCTGAGCATAGCAGCAGCCACCAGACTGGGCTCCTTGTTTCTTTCTCTCCTTGGTCTCTTTCAGGCTCTTCTCGATGCAGCAGCCAGAGGGGACCTGTCAAACTGTCGGTCTCATCATGTCACCTCATCGTCAACCTTTCCCAAGCCTGCCCATCACATGATGAGTAAAATCTGAAGTCCTTGGGGGTCTGCAAGGCCACCGACCCCTGGGCCCTGCTGTTACCATTCTGGCCCAACGTCATCACCTCCTCCCTGGTCTTCAAACATGCTCGCCCTGGGCCCTAATGATGCTGCCCACTTCCCACCTTCCCCAGCACCTCTGTGGTCCTGGATTGCCTGTCTTACAACTCATCTTCTCCCCCCCGACCAGCAGACACACTACCTCCTTGTCAGTTTTCTAATATACAAAGCACATAGCTGTTCCTTCTAGTCAGAACATCTTTCCCGGGCCAGTCACATGACTCTCAGCCTCACTTCTTTGGTCATTCCAACAACCCTTTTATCTGTGACCCTATTTAAAATAGCAATCACACACACACACAGAGGTTTATTCATTTTGTTTATTGTTTCTCTCCCTCCAATAGAATATAATTCCACAAGCACAAGGATTTTTGTTAGTTTTGTTCGCTGTTGTGCTTCCAGGGAATAGAAATGTGCCTGGCATATAGCACGTGCTCAATAAATAATTTGTTGACTATTGAGCCAAAAACTCCAAATGTCTGTTTAAATGGGACTCGTTTCATATTGTGTGTAGATTTTTCTTAATATCCTTGAAAGTCAAGCTGTTGGTCAAAGGGTTTGCAAGCTTCCTGCAAGTCTTTTTTTTTTTCCCCTTCAGTACTGGGGATCGAATGCAGGGCCTTCCCACTTAGCTAGGCCCCGCCCCTTTTCTATCTTTTTGTTGTTGTTGTTCTTCAGATAAGGTCTCATGATATAATTCAAGTTGTCCGTGAATTCACTATGTATTCCAGGCTGGCCTCAAACTCACAGTGATCCTCTGTCTCAGCCTCCCAAGTCCAGGTATCACAGGCACGCACCACCACTTCCAGCTGCTTTTTTTGTTCTTTAATTTTGAGACAGGGTCTTGCTAAGCTGCCCAGCCAAGACTTGACCTTGCCAATCCTCCCACCTCAGCCTCCAGAGCACTGGACTTATAGGACTGCAGTTCTGAGTGCAGTCACACCAATGTTACTTGTCACAGATCAGTCCTTACAGCCAGATTTATTTTCTTCCATGAAAACCTGCTTGCCTTGCCCTTATTTTTCTCTTTCTCCAACATGAACTGGAGAAACCTTCATCAGAGGATAACAGATGACTTGGGCCAGCGCCTCAGAGTCTCCAGGGCACATACCTGATTCTCACAACACCCAGAAAGCAGTGTGGTGCCATTACACAGATCAGCACACTGAGATCCAGGTTTGTGCAACTTGCTAAAGGCCCTACCACACATTGGCAGCTCAGCAGGAGCCAGAACCACATCCCTGGTCTCTCATCATGCCAGCAACTCCAGGGCACCAGAGGCCATCTGGGAATCTTCAGGCTTGGGAGAATTCCAGGTCTCCTAGCAACACCCTCCATCCATCTGTAGGTCACTAAGCAAACTGGTCCTGGCACCTTCTGCTTCTCAGCCGTGTATAAGTATGTGATTCTGTGATCAATTAGGACACTTTTCTTGCTTCCTCTTCCTTCCCTCCTTCATTTACCTCCCTCCTTCTCGTCTCTTTGCCTTCCCTGTACATTTATTGAGCATTTACTGTGTATCAGGCCCTCTGCTTGGTGCTGGGGTTAACCGTTGAAACAGTCATGTCTAGGGTAGTGACGGCGAACCTTGTGGAGCTTTCAATGATGCAAACAGCCTGCTGCGGCAAGAGTGCCATAGGTTTGCCACCACTGGTCTGGGAGGATACCATACTCACTCAGATTCAGGCAGGGGTTTCAGAGAGGCCCTACCCACATACACAGATTGTATCCCAGATGTGTCCCAGATGCTTTGCTGGACCCTCACTATGTGTTCTTTTCCCCCCTCCTCACAAAACACTGCCAGGAAGATGTTGCATCTATATTCTGAGACTGAGGGAACCAAAACAGAGCACTGCGATGACTTGTCCAAGATCCTCATGCTCTTTTTTCATAAGCCAGCCTCATGTCTTATTTTACATGTATTTTAACCCAAATCTGTCTGATTTCGCGAGATGACACTCTGCCAAAAGGATCAAGCATGGTTATTTATTCATCAGGCTGGAAAGCATGGAGTTTAAGAGGACTGGTCAGGAGCTAGCACACCTGCAGTCAAGATGCCGAGTCCTCTACTTGCCAGTTAGCAGCCAGAAGGCCTCTCCTCGATGCCTCAGGGCCTCATCTGCAGAGTGCTGAGAATGCCCTTAAGCAACAGCTCTGAAAGGGCCAGGAAAGGTGTACAGTGCAAGGCTAGATACTGTCTTTATTTGAAATTTTGATTGCCTTAGTCCTGTTCTTCATCACCAGGACAAAATACCAGACACCACAACTTAATGCAGAAGTTTATTTTGGCTCCCATTTTAGATGTTTCAGTCCTTGCATGGTGGGAAGCATGGTGGAAAGGCCTGGGCAGAGGAAAGCTCCTCATCAATGGCAGACAGGAAGCAGAGAGTCAAGGGAGGAGCAGGGGAAAGGGAAGGGAGATAGAACCCTCTGGGTCTCACCAGTGACCCGCCTCTTCTGACCAGTCCCCTCCTCCTAACAGGAAGTCAGCTCTAAACTCCTATA